TATTGTTTATCAGAAATACGCATCTCGACGGAACATAGATGTCGTTAATCTAAATTCTTCGAAGTAGAGGTCGCAACAAATCGTGTCAATTTGCATTAATTGCAAAAAAACTCTAATTAAAAGGAATAATTTGTCAAGTTTCGAAACTGTGTCGTCCGTTTAAGACTCTTAGCTTTCCTTGTATATATATCATTTATATTATAATTGATAATTTAATAATTTATATTATAAATTGATTATATTATAATTTATTATATATTTATATCTGTTTAAAAATATTAGAAAGAATTGATTAAAATATATTTTTATTTTATTTTATATGAAAGATTGGTCGTATCAGATAAATATTTCTATAAATATTGTTATTTTTTATCCCGAGTTAGTTTCGTGCGAAATGCGCACGTATTGGGTTTAAATTGGTTAACGATTACAGCGCCAACACACGGTAAAATATATAATCACTTTCTACGATTCTCGAACTCGAACTCGATATTTTTCATGATCGATTTTTAATCGACATGTGGCGGTTAAAAATGGCGAAGAAAAGCACATCTCATCTATAAAGACAAAAGTATTATTCAGAAACATCATCTAGAAAGAAGTATAATGCAAAAATTCTCAGGTAAAAATTTAAATCAATAGTTGTTGAATTTGTGTTTTGAATTTTTAAGATAAAACGTGCGTTTTGGGCTCCAACTAGAGGTAAGATTTAATGTAACTAAATAATTATTACATATAATTTTCGACAATTAAAGAAATAATAGCATATAAACATTTAAACAGAACTCAGAACTGTGCTGAAAGTTAGTTATAATTTAATTTCAATCAGTAGAAATATTGTAACCTTGTAATTGACTAACTTGTTGTTATATATGTATGTGTGTGTGTGTGTGCATATATATATATATATATATATATATATATATATATATGTATTTTATTACATGCTTTTACACACATACTTCCGTGTGCTTGATTGCAGAGATACCACAGAACGCACAGATGTCACGATCATTAATGGACAATTTGATGAACTTTTACGGAAATTATTGGCAATATTTTATTCATTTTGGGTAACCTTTGGTATACAATTCATATCTATTTGAGATACAATTCACAATACGTAATTTCGTAATTATTTGGAATACAAAGATGAAAATGAAAAAGATTAAATTAATTAATATTTTATTTGGATATATACAGCTTACATATGCTATCAAATGTTCTTGTATTAAATTATCAAATTCAAAGTTTCCATACTTTACTGCATTATATGTACTTTATTATACTGTACTTGCTTTTTTTCAAATGTTGACTCGAAATTGAAACGGTTGAAAACAAGATTTCACACGCGTTTCTCATTTCTCTATTCTTTCTTAAATATATTCAGCTAATTTTGAATTAACGTTAGAAATTATGATTTGTACAAACATTTTCGAATATTTATAACACGCTACATGATGTATTACTAATGTGTGTACTTCCTACTCTAATAACGAACATTCAGAATACAGTTTCAGAATACAATAATTGTCTTTCATTTACAATTAACATCTTTAATATATGTAATATATTCAAGTTTCTTTATAATCATGTTCTACAGAAATAGTAGTATTTTCTAAATGAACGTATCCTTCTCCCTTTTCCTCACTAATCAGCTTTGTTTTCAGAAAGATTTTGTGACCGTGCGCAATGCGGTTGGTAGAGTCAGTGTTTGTTGCAAAGTATTTTCTGAGCAAAATGGCTGTTGTAAAATTAAATAGTTCATTTAAATTATAATTCGCAAAGTTAGAGTCAGTGAGTTTGCCGATTGTTGTTTAAACGTGCGCGTTGACAGTCTTTTATTTTTCTTTTCTCATATTTTTTCTTATTCAATACTCGTTTTCGGTATTAGAGTCAGTGCTCGAGAGGACAAGGTTTCTCCAGGAGAGATCAAGATCGTAAGTAGTTTTATATACTGTACTTCAATTTATTCAATTTTTCAAATTTAACAACAAAGTATAATGTTTATCGTTTTGTTTACAGACGCTTCACATCAGCATTATTTTTTCTTTTCTTTTTTTTCTTTTGTAATTTTTGGGGGAAAATTCAGAGGGTTGGCTCTGAAGCCAAGAATGTAAGAATCTTTCATTATCTCCAATCTAAGATTTCGTTTGCTTTGAAATATAAATTCTAACGTTTAACGTTTTGTTATAGATCTTCTACAGTCTCCACAACCTCTAATTTTCTAAGGATTTTATGATGCTTTAAAAGCTAAAAATGTAAGTACTTTAGCTTGTTGTACTTGAATTCTATTCTCTATAATTTCTATTGAAGTCGAATGTAAAATTATAATTATAAAATAAAAATATTTCATATTATTAGTCCTAATTTTATCATTATCATTATTAAAATTTAAATTTTGACAAATATAACACTGTGTCTTCAGAAACAAAATGTTTGTTGTTTTCTTAGAAAATTTTTCACGGCGTTTTGAATCAAAGCAACAAGTTTGGGATTTTCAGTGGTATCTACAATGATGAAGGTCTTTCCCGGCTCCAGTGCAGTATCGGTGATAATGTTCTTCACATTTACCCCGTGAGTCGCATGCATTTATGTTCCTCCGGTCACTCAATCATGTCGTGGAGGATGAAAGGTGGTCCGAATCGGCACGGGTGACTGGTTGTATACGTAGAATTTTTTATGAGCATAGTGGGGACCACGGGTATTTTTTATACCCGTGAGTAATAACATTTATTCAAGTTTTTTGTGTATTAGATTAGGATAGGGCTTCTTGCACACCGCGACTTTAACAACATTACAGTTTGAATATATACAGTTATAATAATTACTCGTAAAGTCAAAATATCTTCAGTATAAATGTTTGCAAAAGTAAAATATCCATATAAATATCTCTATAGAGAGATAAATTATAAATATTTATAAATAATTATTATTAAAACGATTTCGTTTTAAGTATTTTATAGTAGAGAAGACGGATATCCTCCGACTTCGTTGCTACCAAAGATGCAATTGTTACTTATTGATGTTAGTGATATTTTTTGTTGTAATAATTTTTAATTAATAACTGTTACAGTAATGAATAATTTGCAATTTCATTTTCCCTGTTAGTAGTTTTCCCTGATAGTATCGAGTGATTTAATTAATTGAGTTTTTTAATCATGATAATCATTCAGTGGAATTTGAAATACAATAATAAATTAGAAATTTTTCCGCAGAAAAATGTATGAAATTTTATGTGCAATAAGATACTTCGCGATACTTAGCCAGATTTTTGAATCAAAGCAACAAGTTTGAACACTGTCTTTGCATTTTCGAAAGTGTGCTTTGATAAAGAAATCGAGTGAGATTGTTTCTGTTCACGTTTAATTGTGATTTCGATTGTTTCAGTTTGATTGATAGATTTCATACCTTTTTTAATAAATTCAATGTTTTGTCCCGTAATTTCAATAATTTCTGAAAGAGAGTAGATGATAGAGTCATTACAGTTTGAAATAAAATAATACAATAGTCCGTTAGATACAAATTATAAAAAAACTTATCATTCTTTTTAGTTCAGGATTTTCAGGTTTAACCTCTTCCGTGTTCATTGTTAGGATCTCGCTCACGTGCCCAGGTGGCTACTTGGGTAGGTGAAAGACATTGGGCACGATGACCATAGTTTGCAATTTTATAAAAAATTTCTCAGCGACTGACAATGTGTTGGCGTATTATGCACGACGTATATATTCTCCGCATGCGTGTGTAGGATAGTTAGGATGTGGAATTGCGTTTCTATTGTTCCATTCATTATAAGTTGAAATATTTAAAATGTTTTATGCACTAATTTAAAATGTGAATTTATCACGATATACCTAATTATGTTATTAATTATATTATCGATCATAATAATGATTCCAAGTCAACTTGTACACGTATGTAGTTTCTATAGAAATTATATGTATCTTTCCTCAGTTATTAGTGTCTTATATTAATATCTTGCAAATATAAACGTGTTTTAATCACGTTTTACGCAATGTTCGCTAGCCATTGTCAGTCGATTTCAGGAAAATGGTATGTAAATTAGAGTAGAGTGAATGCTGCGTGGGTGTCGGAGGTCCTCTCGGGACGTTCTCTCTAGCTTAGGTCTGCGCCCGAGTGGTATGTGGAGTGAGTGTGTTGGTCTTTTGCCATTTTTTAAATATAGGGCGACTGATTAGGACAGGTAGCATACTTTCTGGCGTGAATGTGTTTAATTATAAGTAGGTAGGGCCGGGCAGGTTGGTACAGTCTCTGGTCGCGTCGTGGTCCAACCTGTTTCAGGAAATCCAATTTGAAAAATCGATAGTGAAATTGGTACAAACGGAGCATGTCACTTGTCCTCTGGTTTTACTCTTCGATTTTTCGAATTTAGTATCGCGGGTAGGTCGCGAATAGATCCCGAAACGAACGTTTATGTATGTAGGTATTGCTCGAGCACGCACATGCGAACGGACAACGATCACTATGATCGATGCGGTCGTCCATGTGTATTGAGGTCAGCTTCCGCAGTTTATCTTTTCATTTCGTCTTTGTTATATGTTATTTTTTGGTTTGCGACTAGAAAGACTCGAGCTAGAAGCCGAAGAGGCCCGGCAAACTGTCACGAAGGGGATCACGGCAAATGGCTTCTCATTCTCTGATGAGAATTTAAATGATTTCAGAGCATGAGAGTTATTACTACTTTGTCACTACATGCTCTTTTTCAGTATTTGTAGTTAAATTTTTTGTTTTTCTTCTTCATCGTCGTCCATTGTTTTGGGCAAATAGTGGGCTTTTCTTATTAACGTTGCGATTACGGGTTGAATTAGTGTTGCGAGAAATTGATTGCAGTTTAAACTAGAGTCGCCAAGTAATGATAATCGTGTTTGCTTGGATGATAGAGTGCTTGCGAATTTTACGATACCGCGATTGTCTTTGACTGTGTAATTTTGATTGTGAATTTTTCTGAAAATTATCTTAGAGTTATACGTAGTAGTAGTCTAATTTAGTTTGCTTCCTATCGTTTTAAATTGAATTATAGAGTCACTGCTTTTTCAAATTAAGTTTAAAGTGTTGGAAGTGTTTGCGTGTTAACTTTTGCTCATACAGTAACATACTTTTGTATTGTTAATAATAATTTCAGTTTGGTTTTAGAGTTAGCGTCGCGACATTAGTTCGTCGCGATTTCCAATTACTTTTTCTCTTGTTAGTGTTGCGGTAATGAATTCGGTCGTTTCTTCAAGTACCGTTTTGCGTTTGCAAAATTCTTCCACTGGATTCGTGGAAAGCTGCTCCCGAGGCTCCTGACGCAGCTACAAGAGCTGTACAGTAGTCATTCATCCCAGTAATCTTCAGCATGGTTGCACTTTAGACGCGTTGCAATTAGTGTTTCTGAAGACGAGTGCATGGATTAATAGCATTGCGTACTTATTTTCATTAAACATGACCAAGCACTCTTTGCGTTTGATATTGAAAATTTTCTTCAATTAGTATTACTGGCGAGTTAGTGTTGCGAAACAAGACAAGATTTGTTGTTCGGATTCATGTCGAATGTAGATTTGACACTAGTCCTTCTGGTTACTGGCTACGGTTAAGAAAAATTTCCTCCAGCACTCAACCTAGGAAAATATAATTTGCGCCGTACGACGCATTCCTTTACGCACACGTCAAATTTGTAAAGATATTTTTTCCATTGGTCGATTTTCCGACATGAAAGGAAACACTCTGTATTTTTCATTAAATCTTCATGAAATGATGATTCATATCAAATAAGTAACGAAATTTTGTGGCTATTGTAATATTGATAGGTAAAGTTTGTTTATAAAAAAAATTTTGAATAATATTTTCATTTACGCTGTGCTAAATTGGAGAATAATAGAATTCATGTTATTTGCCATACTCGGTGCACTCTATAATTAGAATAGAATTGTTAAAAATTTAACGTGAATTCGAATATGTGATAAAAGTAAATGAGGAAATATGATTTTAACTTTTTAATATTAATAATAATTTAAAGTAGTTGAAAATTTAGTTAGTTGAAAATTGTTTTTAAGAATGTTTTACAAAGTATAAATCATTTACAGTTGAAAGCATGTATTAGTGACTTTAGAATTTTAATTTACTACATAAAAGAATCATTGCAAGTTCGTAAAATATGGATATAGCTGTGACACGCAGTAGAATGATTCCTGTTAGTTGCTGGTTTCACGTTTTGGTATTGAAAATCTGATAATGCTATAATGGATCACGATACTATGTGATCAATCTCGATCGTTTCACTTGACGCAGTTTTCCAATTTTTTTAAACGTAGAATGCGCTAGAAGCCATTAATTTTTTACTATGTCGTTGTCGAAAAGATGCAATGTCTATTTATACATCCCGTCTGTGTATTATACTAACAGTTTTTATTAAATGGGTACATAGATACGATATTTATTCGACTTTTTTCATTCGAATTCATGTAACTGATGATAGTACAGTGAAGTAACTCATTGCGCTTTGAATAATCTGGAAATGATAACAAGTGATAACAAAATTTTGTGATCATTTGTGAAATGAATCGCGATAAAAGATCATTACCGCGAGGAACGTTTCCATTGACATGGTCGCCATTTTCAAAGCTGTTATTTTGCTGAATGCGGACGTTCTTGCAAGCAAAAATTTATATGTATTATGGCAATTTTTAGGGAATATATACCACATTGCTTCGCACCTAAACGAATCGGTCGTTGTTTTCAATTCTTACAATTGCAATAAATTAGAAATTGCTAAGAAATCTCGTTGAAAAGTGAAAAGTATGAAAAAGAACATACGCGGCAGCGTGTACTTCCTCATTGTGGTTCAATAGCCTCTGTCCAGGAAGGCAGAGGACGAATATGTGAATAGCTTGTGCAAATGTAAACGATCCAAATCGTATCATGTCGGCTGCGTTACCTAGTTTCATCACAGTCTAAAAACAGCAAAGTATATTTACGTACACTTACACGAATGGACAAAGAAAACACCTCTGAATTTACCAGCCATTCTCAATCTTTCCGCGATATACCTTGGATAATAAGCGGAAAAAGTAAATTAAAAACCCATACGGATTAATCTAGATTGGCCTTTCCCGCTCTTTACTTTCGCTTTCGCTTTGCGGATCCACGTGACATCTAGCATTTCTTTCGTTCGTGTTTTGTTAGAAAAGAAGAAACACAGGACGTCAAGTGCCAAAATTGGGAAAAGCCGCTAAACGAGAAATTTACCATCTAAATTTTACTTGTTAATATAAATGTAAATGATCATGCTGCGAGTTGCTGAAAAGAAATGTATTTACATTTATTTAATTACACGGTGTTCACTTAATAATGACGACTCGTCTTAATGGGAAATTTGGTGGCACAACAATAATCATTTCGCGGCATGTTGGCTGAGAATCACTGGCATACAGGGTGTTTGGATCTCAACTCTGTGTGTGTCAGACCTTGTGAAAGTCAATTAGTTGTTTGGCAAGTCATTTTGAGTGAGAAATGTTGCACAGGGTGTCACGTAATTGATGGTACAAGCGGGAAGGTGGTGATTCTACGTGAAAGACTGAATAAAAAATATAGAATAAAATTTTTTTATTCACACGAAGCGCTTTGTTTCCGAGAAAAATGGCTTTGAAAGTTTATCGAGTACGTTTGTGCACTTCAGATCAAGATTCAACTAACATTTGCAAACGTTCCCCAATGTTCGTGCGCGAAGACACAGAATGTCTACTTTTCACCAAACTTTTGTCAGTTTAAAAATTGTTGGATGAAAAGTGATGTCCACGTGTTGTTGCATGCATAACTGTGCTCTTCTTATTAAATTTCTACAAACATTCTTCCTAATGAGTCATTTTTGTAGTTTCAATGTTGCAAACGTTATAATAATTTTTTCGTTTAATTGTTCAACGTTCACTATGTCGCTGACCTAATACACCATAGATTTTTTAACATGATCCCATAAGTAAAAATCTAGCGGTGACAGGTTTGGAGATTGTGGTGGCCAAGGTATTCCTCCATTGCGGCCGATCCAATATTGGTAATTTTCGTTTGAAAAATTTCTCACGATTGAAACGCGATGGTGCTCCATCTCGTTGGTAAATTAAATTTCTTCGAATTTCAATAGGAATGTCTTTCAATAATCGAGCTGAATCTTGATCAAGTGCACGCGTACTCTATAAACTTTCAAAGCTGTTTTTCTCGGAAACAAAGCATTGTATGAAAAAATTTTATTCCATATTTTTTATTCAGTTTTTCAGATGTAGTATCACCACCTTCCCGCTTGTACCACCAATTACATGACACCCTCTATATCACCATGAGTTATCTAACGAGAATAGCTATCGAGTTTGAACATTATTCTTGTATTCATTGATGTTGTATTTTGAAAAATTTGTAAAATTTGTTAAATCAGACTGAACTGTTAGCGTGATAAATAAAAGCCAGCGTAAAACATAGCTTGAAATAAATTGTCATTGAAGTTATAATTAAAGTTAAGTAGCTTGAACTGTTGTTTGATTATTTCTTTTCAGCTACTTTTCGCTACTCGTCTCATTGTCTCGAAAACGGAAACGATCCGTGACGTATGTATGTGACATTTTGTGGACAAACGTGTCGACAAACTGTGACTAAGATTGAGATTTGGAATTGTCTTCGTATGTACGAATATTTACCTCAACTCCTGCAATGGTAAGGCAGACAACGTTAAAGAATAATTGAGCGAATATAGACTTGGTGAACAGTGATTCAACAAGTTTCGAGTATCTATAAAAAATAAAATTCATTCATCTCTGCCGTACAAAGGAAATGAATAAAGAAAGAGGTAGTAATATGGCTCCTGGTTTTAAATCTCATTCGTAATCTAAATTTTATACTAATAAGATAATAATGTGTTTTCTCATGTCGCACTGCTACAAACAAAGGGAAAAAATAAATAAAAAAGCAGCTCGGCCAAATCTGGAAAAATAGAACAAAATAAAAAATAGCATGCGTTATATTTTATATTAGAATCTTTTGCACGTACAAAGCAATCATAAATTGTGTATAAACTACCAAAAGTAAAAAATAGATTTTAAATACTTAATTAATTTTAAATATATATATAAAAGTATTAATTAATTATTTACTGCACATGTATAATTCATCATACATTATATCACTTCATGACAAAAACAGAAAGAAATGGAAAGAATACTGTAAATATTTAAAGCACAATGTACCAGAATCGAAAATATAATTGATAATGTAATATATAATTTTAAAATATTGAAAGAATTATTTGTCACTACATAAAATGTTGGATTTGTTGTTATCGTTGCACTGCATTCAAGTTTAAGAGAATATTTAAGATAACTTCAAAGATACACGTATTATACGTGCAATTTTTTGACAAAAGGACGGAAAGTTACTTAATTCATTTATAAAGGACAATCGATCGAATAATACACATTAATAATATATATTAGTGTTGAAATGTTGCGAACAAACTCATTATACAATCTGATATATTGGTATATCGTCATGTCGAATATTTTGTTGACATAACACAAATATGAAAATCAGCTGATGGGACCAAATTATTGATGGGGAGCCATAATACCATCCTCTCCTCTAACATGTATGTACGTCAAGATCACTGACTTGATTGCATTTTGATGCTCTTTTATACAAAGGAACAGTTTGCTGTGCATTTGTTTCTGTTCTCCCGATAATAATTCGATATTTTTACGCATTTCGAGCAAGCGACGATCCTTTAACTTCATCAAGACATTCGTATCTAAAATGTGCACAGTTCTCAATTCAAAACTGGAAAAAAAAAAAAAAAAAAAAAAAAAAAAAAGAAAGAGAGAAAAGAAAAACGTCTTGCTAGAGTGAAAAATGTCGGAACACGATAATATTGAAAATGATGATAGAAATATAAATTTCACCTGACAATTGCAAACAAAGCGTAAGCGTGTTGCGCGTACAGCATGTACGTGGTATCGCAAGAAGCAATCAAATTGGCGATTATGGCTATTGTTACGTACGAATGTACGAACAGATAGTAAAAGTATTGTTGCGTATCCACGCCGTAATCGAGTTCAATGGGGAAGCTTTTCTCTTGAGAATAATTCGAAGGTCTGATTAGATCAAACGTTAATGATACTGCTGGTATCGTTATGTAAGCCACCACTGTTACATAAACGTATGCTAAAATGAAAATAGACGACACTATTATTTTACTTTTACTATTATAGAATTGTAAAATAAGAAGGAAAAGTCCGCTCTTGGAATCTGATACGCATACAGGCATAATAAAATGTAATTTTGCTCCCTTGCATGTCATAGTATTGAAGAATCACGTTTTCTGGACGATTCATGTAGTAGTTGTGATTATCTTTAATGGACAAGAGTACATCTTTGATCTGTAACGAGAAGGATGTTAATGAAAAGCTTTAGAAGATTTATATACATTATATATTATTTAATAAGAATTAGAAGAAATGAAAATAATGTCTAACAAAATGTCTAATAAAAATAAGGAAAAGAAAATTCTACATAGTGCAGGAATTATATCTGAATGCGTAACGATAAAAAAAAATTATCTAAATGTTACAACTTTGTGAAAAAAGAAATCGTATAACAATATCATGGTCCTATTTTGAACCTTGATTGTTTTAGTCCGTTTTTCAAAAACGTTCGTATCTTTTCACATTATACAGCGAACGTAAGGATATTCTTATTCTCGAAAATTATGAAAATTCAAACGTTTTTGAAAATTTTATTTATGACTAAATTTACTCTTTTGGTCTTTTGAAAGTTGAAATTTTCTCTTTACAACGTTATTTTCTCCTTAACACTTGCTGTACGATTTTTTTCGCCATTTTATTCAACATTGGGATTAGACGCCAAAAAATTTCAAAATTTTCTTCAATCTTTGTCCAGAGTTCGATAAAATGGCGAGAAAGATCTAAGGGGAGACTTCAATTTTCAAAGTGAAAGATTCGTAGATTTATTCACGAACAAAATATCTTTTAATACTTTTACAGATGTTTGAGTTTTTACAATTTTTAAGGAAAAAGTATTCTCATTACACGGTGTGAAAAGAAAAAAATCTTTGAAGAAAGCAACCTCAGTAATTGTTAAAGTAGCGATTTTACATTTTAAAATGTGATCAGACGAATCGTTATACGATACTTTTTTTTATCAAGCTGTGTGTTAGTTTAAATTATCGATAATTTTTCATCGTTGTGTGTTCATTTATAGTCTTTATATATTCTTTTTCATTTCAATTGCATTCATCGTTCGTTCCAATTCGACAATTGCGCGTAAAAAAAGGTAAAATGGTATATTATTTTGCTCCGTAACATTTATTTTCTTAACATATTTTTCATAACAGAGTGTACCACCAAACATAACAGAATATGTTATATATTGCAAATGATATTCACTTCCAAGTCTAATTGTTACGCGATACTCATCTATTCGTCTTTCCCAAGATGCCTTTGGAGATCTTTAGTTTTAAATATTATCGATGGTTGCAACGAATGACGATCCAAACAAAATGATGAGAATGTTAAACGAGATAAAACCACGATATGAAGCCTGTGAGATCCACGCGAGAATGACAGAAATTTAGTCTATTTGTAATAATAAAAGTATTTAGCAAATTTAGATATCTATCTTTTCATTTCATCGTACAACTAGGTATTAATTTTGTCGTTAATCATTGGTGTCGATTGGACGGATGAGGATTAATCAGAATCAAACTAATTAATCGTGCTCCGCTCTGAATATTTATTGAGATGGAGAAAGATACCTTCTTCGCGTTAAAAATTGTGTTGAGATACATCGACATGGAGAGGAAGAGTGCTGTGATCGGTGGTATGCACTCGATGGCTAAATCGACATTGACGTTCCACGCGTTGGACAATCCTCTAATCTAAAAAAAAAAAAGAAAAAAGAAAAAGAAAAAAATGTGTAAAGCATAAAATTACAAAAGACAACCAAATAAGAAACCAAGTTCAAATCTGACACTCGAAAAGAGTAGAAAAATTCCATGCCAAATTATCGCATTTTGCTATAAAAATTTCCATTTCGCTAAACGAAACACACTGTTCAGCTTTCAAAGTAAATTTGTTTCATTGTACTGTACTTTGAAAAAACAAGAAGCAATCGTTTGATTAAACGATGGCGAAATATTTGTTACAATGTAGAAAAGAGAGGATGATGTGTATAGTAAGTTCTACAGTTTTTAGTTTTAACTGAATTTTAGTTGGAAACTAAATTGACACGTCACGCCGCGTTAGCACTGTCCGTTTTCCACCAAGGAAATCAAAGAAATCCGCCGCACGAAGGGTTTATTTTTATCTTATTCTGACGTGAAAATCGTTCAATCGCTTTAATAACGAGCAATCGTTTCGCTTATTAGATGGAACGTTCTTCGTTCTTGGAAAATAACGTAGAAAAAGTAGAAGCAATCTTCCTTCATTAGCTGTCGTTGGCTGTCATTTCACGAACGTGTCCAACATCGGGGGAGTGGAAACCCGATTCAGAGAATCTTTTGAAGAACGTGGAAATTTCGTCCTCGCGTTCAATGAATGTAAAACGACGACGAATTAAAATGATTAACTCGTTAATGATTCAACGAGCAAAGTGTTCGTCGATTCCCTTTGTGCAATTCTTCTGTCTAGTGATTCATCTTCGCTTCTTTACCACGGTTGTGTGTTGGATCGATGAAAGAAGTGCGACGATAATCGGATATGGACGATATGGATTTCTTCGAGCAGCCCGGTTTCCGATTAAACAAGCGTCTTTTATCCATCATCGGAGTGTGGCCGTTTCAGAGGCCTTTGCCAAAATTATTGAGGCAAGGTGTCGTTTTGATTTCGATTTTCGTTCTCCTGGTAGCCGAGGTAATTCTAGAAAAAGAAAAGTTATATACACGTATTATGTACATATACAGAGTGTCCTTTAACTGTGGCTGGATACGACTTAGGCTTTGTTTGAGGAGAAGATCAAGCTTGAAAATTTAGTTTGTACAGAATGATTCACGCAGATCCTTTGTGTTCTTACTTGAGTTATTAAAAAATTATATCAGAGGGAAAAGATGAACAAAGATAGACGATCTAAATAATAAATGGAAATAAAGTGATCAAACGATCGTATTTTTATAGACGAAACTATGTATAAATACACAATAGGATTTCATCGATTGTGTTGTAGTTTGATCGATGATTCAAGAAATTCCATGCCAAATTATCGCAAAGCTGCTTCACTGTGATTTTGTTTCTGTGATAAATTAGACTGTGGATTTTTATGTAGATTTATATTTTTCTCTACATTTAAGAAACTAATCTCGTGAGAGTTGTTTCTTAAATACCGATTATATCATACTTTTTTATACATTAGCCATTTTTCAACTTTTGAGTTTCGTTCAAAAATCCACAGTCTAATGATAGTAGGAAACAGATTGGAGGCGAGGAGAGGAGAGAGAAGAAACTTCAGGTGTCGATGGAAATTTAGATTTTTGTGTGCAAGTGAACTTTTCACAAAAAGAGAGAAGATCTAAAGGCTTGAGACTCTTTAATCCTTGAGAGTCCAATAATCACACATCATATAGAAGATAGCTGTCTTCCTAACTAGTTTGCTGTTTGCTAATTGAGGTGAAAAGTATTTGCATTTATACTCACTTGAGGTAAAAGGTGTTTGTGTTTATATACTCGTTCGGCGTGAGCCCAGTATCGAGCAAGAGAATTTTATAATGTGTGCCAAACGTTTTTTCTCGCACACGCCATACGCAAAATTTCCTACATGTTACAAAGGTAGGCCACCCAAGCGCGAGACAACAACAAGAAAGTTTCGAATATATTTATAATCCCTACGGGTAAATGAAATTGTACAACTTAATCTGGACGTTGTGTCAAATAAATAAATCTAGAAATTATCTAGAAGATATAGAATAATTCGAGTGAACTATTTTCTTTAATACACATATTAACACGCTAATTGAATTAACTTCCATTTTCCTGTTAATGACATGGGCATGTACGAATAGAAAAACAAACAAATAGAGAAACAATAAAGAATTGTGCATAAAAAGAATAAAGTTATTTAGTTTATTATAGGAGAAGAAGAAACATTTTACGAAGAAACGTGATTGTTATACTTGTAACAATGGTATTTAAGAACGAATGGCGTCGTACTCTCCTTTTACGTTGAAATGTTTATTTCGTTTAATCATGCAGTTCTTTGAAAAATTGTCTTTACATTTTACAGATTAATATCCTCAACATACATAAAAAAGGTAGTTTTAGCGATTGACTTTTCTCATAAAAATCTTTTGAATTTTAACTGTTAGTTTTGATCGTTTTCTACGTTTTCTAAATTATATATTTTGTGTTTAAAAGACGAAATCCATCAGTATTCCATAAGTATGTACAACTCTTGTTAATCGAGATAAAAATGTGTGACGATGGATTACAAAAAGCAACTAGCATGTATAGTGCATGTATGTATGCATGTACGATGCCTAGTAACGAAAGGGCTGAAATTAAAATAAAAGTTGACACATTTTAAACTAGTTGCAGCTAAAATAACAACATTTAATAATCTCTTGCCTCTGACAATTTAAATTAATAAAAATAGTAGTTATAAATTATGATTAGTTTAGGTCTGGGTTAGGTTAGCTATCATACCAATCTTGTCGTATTAAAGTCTCTAGAATTTCGTTTGATTCGATCAATACTAAACTATACATATTTATAAATGTATCCATTTCAAGCAATTGTGTATGCACTCTCATGTGCTTTCTTAATTTCTTCATAACTCCCCATAGCGTTAATTTTAGAAACATGGGTATCATTTCTGTAATTTTCCCTGCAAGCGAATTTTGGCGCGGTAAATATAAATTGTACGGCAATTGTAGTTGTGAGCCAACGAATGAAGTGATTTTACAATTTTTATTAACAGTAACAACAAATTTAACAATTAACCGTCATAATTACTAATTGTCGTTGATAACTTGGTTGGTTTTATAATATTAATTTGCATATTTACCTTATTTTACCTTGATTTATGATTTTCTAAATATTATTTATCAATTGGATAATCAATTAAACGATACTTTGTCGTTTAAAATTAAGCATAGTTTCTGACTGACAAAATTTATTCATGCTCTGCTCTTCAAATAAATTCATTGTCTTGATAATTTAAGTTAAAAAGTTCAAATCCTAATTCATCAAGTTTTTATGCTTATTTTCTGGATTATTAACTGGATTCTCACGTGAGTTTCGTGAGAAATTAACTTCTTCACGAGCAACGTGGTCCAGATCGAAAATCTCCAAATAGACGCGCGACACTTTAGTTATATATTATTTTCATCTATTTGTTGAGCTGATTTTTTTACTGCTTTCTCCATTTACAAATTGTCATATGCATTTTTTACATTATATATACTGCATATGCAAGTATATACAACATATTTTGTGTATTTACTTACTACGAATCGACATTTGCTCAAAGTATGTCCAATAAAAAAGGAAAAGGGAATATTTTATGTGAAATCAATAATTTACAAATAGTGCATAATAGAAACATCTTTCAAGATGCAATATCATATCATTTTAAATTTATTACCGTATCTTGCAAAGAATCATAAAGTTTTCAAATTTTTTGCTGTTACATGTGAAAGTAATCAATTTTACACTTTTCAAGCAATTTTAATATATGAAAGTAATCAATACTGTTGACCAAGCGTACATTTTTTGCAAGATACGTACATTTTGTGTCGACATCAGACTGTGAGTAATGTGTCAAATATTCACGTGCTATGCATCGTACATGATGGTAATATGATGGAAACCTGTTTCTCGGTCATTGGTTCGTTTTGAAATTACATGCAAATTCAAATTGCAATTGCAATTATATACTGACTTGTAAAATTTTGAAATTTATATCGTGATATAATGTAGATTGTGCTATGCTATCGTTTATATCTCAATTTTTCAAAAGGCATTTTAACGAAACAAATATAATACATTGCAATGTTTTTTTATTTCAACAGAATATACTACAACAAATGATCATTAAACATTAAAACAGAGAAGGTTCTACAATTTTTTTTCGTCCCGAAATGTTAAAATTACACGTTTTCTTTAATTGTGTTGGAAAAAATTTAAATAAAAAGTTGCAAATTGCAATAACATGTGGAGAAAAATTAAAAATATACAATCAATTAAAAAAATTGAGGCAAAATTTTATTTTTGAACTTAGACATTGTTTAGCTGTTTTCATAACTTTTTGTGTTTTAATTTATAATTACTTTAAGTAAAATATTCTAATCTTTGAATTTTTTAAAATAATAATCCTTGTGGTTCAAAAGAATCAAGTGCTATAATTATACGCAATATGTAACGAATAATTAAATTGTACGAACCATGTTTAATAATGAGTTTTGTTTCAAACGTTACATAATCTTTAGTAATAAAATAAATCTCAGCAATGATAATCAATACGAAAGATTCGATCGTTGATTTTGTAAAATAAAATATCAAAATCTGTATTAAGAGAGCATTGAAAGGATTCCTTTTATTAAAACCAGTAGAAATATGAAAAATGATCAATTTTCTTCCTCTATCTTGTTTCATATTATTTTTATCGATTTTTTAAATCAAAATTTTACGAGTGTTACAAACCAGTTTTCCCAGTGATAAAATAATTTTCATACTAATATCATTCACCCTACGAAATGCAAATATGCCGGTACAAAATCAAATTCGTGTCAAAGAGGTACGAAACTCTTGAGAAACGAATATTTGAATATCCAAATGATACAAGTAAATTTTCCAGAAAAAAAAAAACATATGTATTTTAATAGATTGCTACTTTGCCAATGAAATTTGCTTGAAACTTTACGATATTGTGTCTGTATAATGCATATAAGATTTGGCTTTAAATCTTTGTAACGCCTGGTTTCAAGTACATTAGACGACTAGACTATTTCGTACCATTATCATTGCATCAGTTTATTTAAGAGAGCAAATCTGTTCCTCTTTCTTCAATTACTAATATATCAATTATTAAAATCCAAAAATACTACAATGGCCAATAAAGTAAGGCTTATGCGTATAAAAGGTTCTGCTGTTGGTCCAAAAAATGTACCAATGAATGAAAGATGTTATTTTCTTGTATAT